TTTGTTACCTTAAGAAAAAATTGAAACTTACGTATTTAATGGCAAGTGCTTAGAAAAAACATTTAGGCCAAGTCAGAATGAAATAAGTGAGCAGTGTAGCGTTATGCATAGTGAGGAACTTGCTTATTTATACACATCACATGTTAGCATACTAAAATCTTTTATGGGCTGAGCACATAATTAGAACAGGGGAGAGAAAGGATGTATAGAGAATTATGCTGGGAAAACGAATATTATAAACGTGGAAGAAGATGGATATGTATCATCAAGATATATCATAAGTAGGAGATTCTGAAAATTGGAGCTGAATTGAACTGGCATGGAATTGTGTTCNCCATGTCTACTAACAGCCGAATTATAATCAACAAATTTTCAAAATCATTTGCTCACTGAAAAATCAATAAATCCAGTTTATTCACTTACCAATGATAGCCTGGACCTTCATCTCAAAAAAGTATGCAACTAGAATTCATGTAGTTTGAATACTGTTCATGAAATGGAAAGGTAAAGCAGTAAAGTATTGCAATACTTAGCACTCCGCAGTGGCAGATAATGTGTGAAGAGTGTGCCTTGCAGGTTACTCCCATACTAATGGGGTAAATAAAGTTGTTACATGCAACAATGTTTCTCTTACAACAGGAATACAACTGTGTGCATGTATGTGAGCATTTATGCAAAAGAATGTGGGAGGTAGTGATTGCATCTTTATATGATGGGGAAGTACATTGCACTCTGTATTCCTTGATATGATATGCTGCATTATAAGTACATTTCCTTCATATAATTGTGCTTGTATATAGGCTTGGCAGTGTGCAGTTTACATTCTTCTGATACTTGTACACCAGGAGAAACGTCTGAACATCAAAAACAACTCTGGGGTGTATTGAAGGACAAACAGGTATAACATTTATCATTTTGGGAAAGTAATGTACTTTGTCCAGGACATGTTTGAGGGTATGTAATATTTTGAATAGACATCTGTATGGAAGAAAGAGTCCTCTTTGTTTAGGAGGGTGTCTGGCATGGTACCAGATGATGTTATAAAAATCTGTATTGGTATCTGATGATGTTTGCACACTCACAGATTTTTCATAATAATATGTGGCAGTTCAGTACCAGTGTGATGTTTGGCTATTTGACCACTAGAAGCAGTACTCATGTTGTTCCTGTTAGCAGCTATATAATTTACTCGTATGTTAACCAGTTAAGTGGATATGATGTCTTACATGCAGCATATGCTACTCTATATTGTAGTGAGTATGACCACTGTACACATTATGAATGTTTTCAGCTACACCATTGTAGATATTGTGATCTTCAGTGGCCATGAGCTTTTGAAGAAAGTACAGATTTGACCATGCCATAGCTCAAGTGGTTAGTCGCTGGCTTCCCACCGCAGCAGCCCGGGTTCAATCCCGGATCTGGTGAAGTGGCATTTGTGGTAGACAAAGTGGCGCTGGGGCGGGTTTTCTCCGAGTACTTCAGTTTCCCCTGTCAATCTTCATTCCACCAAATTCTCCAATCATCATAACCACCCGGGGCAGGTACAGTAGGCCAATCAGTGGCCCCCATGCTGTGTGGACCCAGCTGGATGCCCCCCCCCCACTAAGGGAATTTAAATTAATTTAATTACAGATTCGGTACACAGGTCAATAAGCAGTGTCTGTTATCAGTGAGAGCCAGAGCTGGAGTAGGACATAGTGAAATGTTTCAGTAATCAAACATGTGAGTATGTGTTTAAGCTGGAGGTAATTTTATCAGTCAGGTTCTATGATTGTGTTTCATTTCTAAACACCATATGCCGGTCAGGACTGCATATAGTGAATGTGCATGAGTCAGACATACCTTTGTAATTACATATTGGGAACCGAAATGCTTGTTAGTGGTGACAGTGGCATACTTTTTGAGAATAAAGATGAAAATATGAAATTTTACCAAAAAGTACATATAAAGTTTAATGTAATATAGATGGAAATATGGATATATGAAATCTGAAAATTGATCTTTCAGAAACTTTGTATCATAATTTTATAATGACATGTGGTTGAGATATTGAATTTTAAAACAGGAGCAACAGTTATAAAATTAAATGCCAAAATAACAAATTGAAATGTCTGTGGAACTGTAATGTCCCACTGCAGGAGAGATGAGAACACAAAATATATACACTTAACTGGTTAATTGTTACTGCTATTTTGACTTTGTTGTGGCATATAGTCATGTACTGAGCATACAGAAATTTGGTGTCCATAACTGTACCACTGAGAAATGAGAAATGAGGAAACAAACTTATTACAAATCTCAGGACAATTTCAGTTATTTCAGGTGCCCTCATGCATAATTTTTAATTGCAGGTAATCAGTATAGGTGACTATTCTTTTCTATTTTAATGTAACATGAAGCTATTAATTAGTATATTGTAAATAAGCATACTTAGACATGCTAGTAATAATTTGGTTTTTATTATGTATATTATTATTTGTACTGTACAATGTAAAGGGGACAAATTCTGAGAAAACCAATAGCATTCTGCTGTTTTTGTATGAGGAAGGTTTGATAATCAGTACTCCAGAACACCTCAAACTGTGTAAAGTGAAACCAAGGATTTCATTATAGTGATACAAATCTTTGCAACCATCAGTTATTAATTTTGTACATATGGAAAATCATCACATAAAATTAAGGTATTTTCCTGGCATGTACTGCTTAATCAAATTAGGTGGAAGACTCATTGATCTGTTTGCAGTTGTCTTCATGTGCCGAGTTGCTTCTGCTGCATGTAGTGCGCACACTTAACATATTTGTGCACATCCTGGAAGAACTGGTGCCTACTGTTCCAACACCAAAACCATCACTTCCCTCTCTTCCTACTGCACCATCTCTCTCTCCAATTAAACGCAAAGGCAAAGCTGCAGAAGTAATGACAGGAACAGCAACAGCGGCAGGGATAACATTAGAAAGTGGTCGCACTAGAGGGTTGTCACCTGTGAAGACTTCATCAGGTAAATAACTTCATGGAGCAAGGTATTTCTTCAGAAGCTTATAGTACTTCAGTTGGTTAATAAATGATGCACCCTTGAACCAGAAAGTTCATTTCACAAGAGCCCAAGACTGGATTGTGTTGTTATCAGGTCAACATGCTTAACACCCTATTTCTAAGATCTTTTTTAATGTTATCCAGCTTTCTCCATCCAGATGTCCATAATGCTCTCTTTTCTTTCCATGTAAATTTTCTACATATTTTTTTTTGTCACCATATGTGAGACATGTTTTGCCTGTCTCATTCTCCTTGATTTTATCACCCTAATGATACCTGGTGAATGGTAAAAATTATGAATCTTTTTGTTGTGTAATGTTCTCCATTAGATAAATATACCTTTTTATGCACATTCAGAAGCCTGCTAAGTGCTTACTATGTTTATTCAGTGTATCTGTCTGCCTGTTCACATGGAGCAGCTAAAGAACCATTGGAAAGATTTGCGTGAAATATGATATTTTTAGAATGTTACAAAAAATGTCAAGCCATTTCAAAGTTCATTTACATGGGACATGTTTAATGGTGACTACATAGAGACCTACATACATTTCTGGATATATATCACTGAATATTTGTCAGAGAGAAGAATGTTTTATAAAAGCTGTAGAGGAAAATAGTAAATACATTTTATGTCATATACATTCCAGATATTTAAAGAAAAGGGATATTATAAGTATATTTTCAAACCACCATGCCCAGCAGTCAATCATGGCAAACTAAAAAAACAGAAGAAAATCTGTGTGGGTTTAGACATCATTAAAACCAGATTCCTTTTATTCTTTTAATATAGTGTTCCATTACATTGTCATTTGAAGCAAAATAGTTTACATATATTTAATTTTTGCTTAGTGTGTGTAATAAATGTAAAGTTCAAATCCTTAATACTGATTATTTATTCATTCAGTATGCCTATATACAAGTCCTCACTTAACGTCCCAGTTAACGTTTCTTTATTACATTGATAGTGTTTTCATACCAAAACTCAGCACAGCATTGTGTTAACTTGTTAACAGTGGTGTTCATTCCAGAGTTTAAGAAAATGGTCAAAGATGAATGTTACTTGTCCAAAAATATGTTTAATTTTGACAAGACTGGGCCATCGCCCAGTCCTTGCTCACTTCACCTTTGGCCATCAGTAAATACATTATATCACACTAAATGTTAAATAGACATTATTGTAATTTATAATTACATTTATTTATGGTCAGGAATGTACAGATATTTAGTTGCCTTCATATTGTCTATATTGCAGTGCAAATTTTGGTGGTAAAAAAGGATGAATAACGTAACCTATGTATTTCTTAAGTTTATAATGGTAAAAAGGGATTCACTTGATGTTGTTTTGCATAGCATTATGCTTTACAAGAATATCTCAACAGTGTTAAATGAGGGATTACTGTAGTCATGACTTAACATAAGTTTCAGTAAGTGTCATTACCCAAAAACAGTGATTAGTTGCACATGTCAATTTGATGTTTATTTGTTATAAATAAGAGAAGAGCTCATTGTAGTCTGGTTAGTTCATCTGTAATTCCTTCAGCTGAATATGCTTGTTAAGTATGTATTGTTTATTTCTGCAAACTTGTTATATGGATAGTTACCCTTAATAACAATCTACAAATAATCAAAGTAAAAATGTATCTGGTGTAATCGAGACATATACATATTGCATTATTCAAAGTTTATAAAGTATTTCCTTATCTCAGTACATGGTCACGTCAGTTCAGGATGGGCTAGTGTATTTTTTTGTAACAAAAGTTCTTCTTGTTCTTGTATTCATCAGTTTGTGCACCATAATCTGATCAATTTCTTTATCATCAGAAGGCATCTAATGACAGCGTACAAGCTAGTAGTGTTCAATTTCTCATCTATAATTTTATTCATCTTCTTATTCTGTTCCTCATCTTGTCTTCATTTTCTCATTGGGCATTAATTATTAAAAGAATCACTGATTATCAGTGTAAGATGGGTCTTCTTATTGCTTGTTAAAATTATTGGTTTTATATTTGTGTAAAACATATTAAAAGTGCCTGAATTCTTTATAGATAAGGAAGAGAAGTCTAGTGAGGATAGGAAAAGTGCTCGAGGAACATTTATGGGATTCTTTACTGGTATTTCTCACTACATGAAGATATATGACATGGTGAAAAGTGCTTATACCAATTATAAGGTGAGCAGATCAAGCTACGTGAATTATTAGTCAGTTTTTATTAACAAATCTACTTTAGTTCATTTATATATTTCTGCTTGCTTTAGGTTTTAGATAATTTACCATTCTATATAAATGTGGACCATGCCATAGCCCCCAGCATCAGTGTGGCTTCAGTCCCACGTTAGGTAATGTGGAATTCGTGGTGGACAAAGTGGCACTGGGATGAGTTTTCTCCAAGTACTTCAGTTTCTGCTGCCATCTCTCATTCTATCAACCATTTCACATTCATTAATCATCCTATCGTCCGATGTCATATAGTCACAATACTGATGGTACTGCTAAGTAACCAACCCACTACGCTAACTGTGAGGTGTTTTGGAAAGATCCTGGACTAGGTCAAAGAAAGAAATGCTGGCTTAACTTACTCGATTCTGGTTACCATCTCTTTCAAAATATTCTCCTTGAGAACCTATACAGATATCCCCTCATTTTTCCATGCTTCAGAAGCACCATGGAAGTCATTTTCCTCAATGCTGTCAAGTACTGCTTGTTACTTCCTTTGGATGTCAGGCACTGTTTCAAAACATCCCTTCAGTTTCATTTTCAATTTGGGAGAGAGAGCAAAATTATGAAATATCTGAAATTTGCCACATTTTCAAATGGCATATTACTGTCTTCATGTTATGATTTTTCCTGCATTCTGCTGATGAAATATGGGCATGAACAACTTTCTTATTAGTTCTGCTCTTTTAGGTGTTAGTAAGGAAGCCAGTCTTAGATCAGATTTGATTTCAATGTTCCTAAGTCAGTCTCAGTGACAAATTTTCTCCATTTAAGGCTTCTTTTTGTTTCAATTCATTTTCTTCTAAAGAGTCATTTGAATAATTTCACTATGTATTGAATATAAGAATTAGGACCTTTGAGTTGATAATTATGTGATTAAATTATGTTTTTAAGAAAACTGGAGATCTTTTTGATGTGTGTTATCACTTAAACCATTCTGTTACTTCTTGTATGTGATTTTCCTTGCTAGATAACCTTGGATTCAGGAGCAAGTGAGTGAGAAGTTCGTTAGTTTGTTACGTGTGACACTTGAAACATTATCACAGTTGCTTGAGGTGGGGACACTTAATGAAGCAGGACACATCACAGAAGAAATTCTTTCATACCTAAGATCTACTGTCACAGTAGAGCCTACAGCCACTGTGAAATGTGTACAGCAGGTAAAGGAAGTTACATTTTGTATTTTATCCTTTGTGGTTTAATACAAAATTAAGTAAAAAATTAAAGGCAGTTTTATTATAATTTTACAAAATGATCACACAGTACTTAGATGTGTAATCCCCCTACGTTTAATGCAGTTAGTCCAACAATCCATACAGTTTTTCAGTTCATCAGAATACAAATTTTATTTTTTTATGTAAGCCATTGTTGAACTGCTTCTCTCCATGACTGATACTTATATCATATGCAGTTTAATGATTGCTGATTCTGTAGTTGCCCCCAGATCAGTCTTCTTGTCATCTGTAATGAGTGTTGCAGTCTGTGTCCAGTATTTCATAATTGATTAAAATTTTGCTCTTAATAGAGTCTTTACCTACAATGACAATGATTTTTATGCTTTCAAGTGAAACTGTCGACTTAAATTCTGACATAAGAATGAAAGTCAAAAATACTTTCAGCTTACAAGTCAGGTAAATATTATAGTAGTCAATTGTGGAGTTATAACAAAATTTGAATTGTGTATGTTGAACATATATTCTGAAATATATTTACAGCTTCTGAAATGTCTGTTTGGCACCAACCTATCAGCCCAACGGGTTGAACATGATGACAGTCAGCGTACCTCATCACTTTCATTAAACTGCGCTACTGCTACTCAGAGTTTTGAAGGTTTCTACAGTGTGTGTTTCCAGACTCCTTACAGACATCTGACAGACTTTGTTACATCCCCTAGCAATAAGACACAGAACAAGGATGAAGGATACATGTAAGCTTGATCTTGATTCGCAGGTATTTGTGAAACAAATTAGATGGAACATGTGAAAAATGTTCCACATTAAGTATGGTTTTTAACTACAGTGTTAGAAATTAAGAACATTTTTATTGTAGGGCATGAAGCAAATTACTATTTCTAGTATAATAAGTAATTGTTTTTATGCTTTTAAGGTGGATGAATTGTTTGCGAAGAAAGGCAGATAGGAAAGGGTCTTCATTTAAAGTTTTCAGTCGTGGAGCTGACAAGAGTTCCCTGGCCTCATACATCAGATTATTTGAACCAATGGTCATCAAGGCTCTCAAGGTAACTGGTACCCTTCGCCGTTTTATGTGACAGAGATACTGTCTTTTATTTCATAATTCAAACACTGTTTTCTAAAAGCTTGGTTGTACAATTTACATGATTGGTTTTGGAAACAGTATGTCGGGGAAAATGTCACACTGTACTTGACTTATCCATTAAAGTAAAAGATTTTGTTTGGAAAACTGTGTGATTATTGTATGAGGTTAAATGCTGATAAAAGATATATCACACCAATTACACCTCTTTTGTGCAACACAGTATCATTTATATCATGTTCTCATGGCTGCAGGGTTACCCTGAAGACCACATGATACGTAACAATGACTAAGGAACATGCTTGTTGAACTGTGCCAGGCTTTCTGTTTGCCGTCTGTTCTCAATTCACACTTGACAAAACTTATCTTTGCTGTAACCTTTCATAGTTGGACAGAATACACAAAATATGTGGGGATTTATTTTGACTTTAATTTCACCGTGAAAATTAAACTATATGAGTATACAGTGGGGTGAATTATGCATTGAAATATAGTATATTAAATGACTGAAGTTATTGCAAAATGAATTCCGGTTGGTGGCATGATTGGCCTCTGCTCATCCAAAATCGGTTTTCCATGTGAGAAGAAGTGTGTTGTGAAGTTTTTTTATTGCAGATGCAGAATTCTAACTAGATTCTTCGCTACTATCTTTTGGTTGAAAAATTATATTTTTTAATGCAATCTATTCCTTGTTTAGGGTCACCATGCAGTAACAGTTCCACTAAGCAGGAATCCTCATTTAATTTTCCTGTTTTTGGAATTATCCCTCATGTAACATTCATTTTCATCCATGTCAATAATCTCATTGTTAAACTTTCTTCATTTAAGGTTTTTTTAGTTAAATTCTCAAATCTACCACTCAAAGAAACCTTGAACAGGAGTTGACTATGTAAAGAACAAATAATTCTTTACTGTACAGTGTGATGATTGGCTTTGTAACAGTGAATTTCTGACTGAAGGATGAGATTTCTGTAACAGATGAGTGTAAAGATCAATGAGGCATGCAAACTCATAAAGGGAATGATATTTTTATTGCAGTGTAACACAAAATCTTTTAGCAGTGATTCAGTTACATTTATGGATTTCTGTGTTTGCTTCTAGGGTGAATGACAGAATCAGTTCTGGGATATATTAATGCTTGGAAAACAGTCATAATCCATGTTAGTAATAAAATGAAGACGTGACTAAAAGTATGACTTGAGATTTTATTGCTTGCAGCAGTATACAGTGACAAGTGATGTACAGCTTCAGTGCCGAGTATTGCTGTTACTGAGCCAATTGGTGCAGCTGAGAGTGAACTACTGTCTTCTTGACTCGGATCAGATCTTCCTTGGATTTGTGCTGAAGCAGTTTGAATTCATTGAAGAAGGACAGATTCCGTATGTGTATTTCCTCAACATCTTCACTGTTTCATATCGGTCAAATATAAAAGTGTATCTTCACCCTAAATATTTCACTTTTAACCATTCATTGGGTATAGGAATTTGAATTTTGAAAGAAGATTTTTCCTCTAAATGCTGGGTCCACATATATCACCACTGCTACCACTCTGCAGAGATATTTCAATAAAAGTTATTTGTTCATGGTAAGAATAAATTAATTCAGCCAGTAAGTCTTGTTCTTCTAGATTTATCTTAACCAGATCTTGCGCTTGCTGGAAAGCATGTTTGTAATGCCTGTAATTTGTATGTATATTTGAAGATGACACAGCCATGCAGAATATTTTATTTTAAATCATATTGGGGATTTCTTTTGAACTGCTTGGTGGTACTCAAAAATTTCATATCAGAATCTATGCAAAGAGAACACAGGATTTTGTCTATATTTTACCGATTGTCTTGGTTTCGTTAACTATAAACAAGCCAGAGTTTTGCAGTTTAAGCAATTACTTGGGACGCATTAAAAATTTTCTTTTCGAAGACCCAGAGTGTTAAGTACTACAGTGTTTGCATATGTTGGGAGATGTGGTTGACAGTTTTACTAAGCACAGTTTTGACGTTTGTAATGAACGTTTTGTGTTTGCTTCATACTGATCTAATTTCCGTCAGTTGGAGAATAACTAGCTGGCTGCAGAATTACCTGTGAAAGCATAAATCTCTTATTTAGGCATGCTGAAGAACTGATACCCCGGATATTTTACTTCTTGGTCCACCTGTCATATGAGAAACATCATTCCAAGTGTATCATTGGTGTTCCTAAGGTAATCCAGTTATGTGATGGGTTGATGGCAAGTGGACAGTCACCAGTCACACACTGTAAGTAGCAGCCATGTTAAGATGAACAGTTTTATATATAAAGCAAAATTTTTAACTTTGTTAAGTGCTTCTTAGCCTACTTGCCTTATTTTTAAAAAGTAAAAGGATCCTTGTGAGATCTGCTTGCTGTCTGTATGTCTGTATGCTCCCTCTAAAGCTGGAATAGTGGGATCAGAAGATACAGCCATTGCTAGGCAACGCATAAACATGTTACCACAGCGTTAAGTACACACACACACACACACAATGATAGAAGAACTGATATGCATGGTGTTTTCTATGCCGATCATCTCGTAACATATACTCAATATGTAGTACAAGGAAAGCAGGTGATTAATTCTTTCCAGAACTTCTTGTTACTTGTTGTGCATTTTAGAATTAATATCATTATGAAATCTATTACTGTCACTTCACCTGAGCAGTTGATCTTTAAATAATTTAGACATTTCAGAGTTGCGACTTACATGTCATTTTGTGTTCAGGTATCCCTGCGTTAGTTCCAGTTGTGGAAGATGTGTTTTTGGTTCGTGGTACAAGCAGTGCCAGCAGCTTTGATTTGAAAGAGCTAGAGACCCAACGAGAAGTTCTGGTATCCATGTTGTTGCGGTTGGTGGAATATCATCAGGTCAGTCCATTTGCTGTTTCAGTCCCACACCTTAGCAATTTTACAATAAAATTACTTTGTGACAGAAAGCCTATGAGAGCAGGAAGTACACATATTTTCCAAATGCATTTTTCTAGTTCTGTGTTCCTCATTGGTTCAGATGCTCATATCTACTACAGTACTAGATGTAGATCCAATCCAGTATAGTTATTACTGCATAGAAACATAAATTATCTATCCTTTGTCTCTTTCATGTTTGTTGTTAGTTGAACCTGTTTTTAAGTCTTAATGATATTGATATCTGTGTATATCGTATTGCATACCACCTTTTGGAATGATGTATTTGGTTCTGGATGCTTGGGGGGGGGGTTAAAATCTGTTTATGTAAAGTAAGGTTACTGTCAGGTAATACAAACCAAAATAAAATTCACCTCACAACTCTTAGTACGGACATCCAGATACTACATTTTTACTAATATTCTTTGAGTAATTTCAGAGTTGATGTATAGCATCTTTCATGCATGTGTTCCTTTCTCACATTTTAGCAGGATTGAATCCATTACATACGGTAGGGATATGTTTCAACTTATCCATATAAACTGACACTTCCATCGTCTTTCCTGTACAAAGTCAGTCTCTTCTCTTGTCATTCGTCCTGAGTCACGTTTAAGATTTTTTACATGGGGATCGTTGTGACAGTTTGTTGTGAAGGACCTTCCGGCTTGTGGCATAGTGCCTCAACCAACTATGCTACTGCATACCCTCGTTTAAGCTGATTGTGTTCCGTGTTCCAAAACATCTTAAGAGGTTTTCAGCCTACATGTGAATGCAGTGAGACTATTTTATATTCCTTTTCTGTGTAAAATGAGTATTTCGATCTATACAGTTGCCCAAACACAAAATGCAGGAAATGATTTTTAAGCTCATCAAATGTGGTTTGATCATTTTAAATCACACTAACCCATGATAGTGCATCGCATTAAATAAATTATGTATTTAAGTGCGATTTGTTTGCTCATTTGATGCGTGGTATTCTTTGTTTCATTCCTGATTCGATCTTAAGGTCACAATTTCTTAGCGTTTTTTAGCATAACTGAAGTCTCTAGGTAGTGTTATTCCCATCTGATACATCACTGTAAGATATATGATATGACTCCGTCCTAAGTGCGAACAATAGTCCTTTCGTCTTGCTCTCTACACTACATGTTTCGGCTGCAATATATTGTGTAGAGTGCAACAGGATGCTTAAATAATATATCACATTGTAAATTTCAATAAAGCGTTCATCATCATTTCAGCAATTTCAGACTTAGAAATGCAATAGTCAGTACAAAAAGTGGGTTTTCACCTAGTTAAATATGAATTTTATGGAAATTTGGTTATCACTGTTTATAAAACAGGTTTTGGAACTACTGAGTGTAGTACTTAATGAGAGCCATGACAGTGAGGAACGATGGCGCCGCTGGTCACGCCAAGTAGTGGACACATTGCTCCCACTCCTGGCGCAGGGCAGAGTGAGGCTGGAATCTAGGGCAGCCCAACATTCTCTGCAACGTGTACTTACCTCTGTTGCTCCCTGTGTCCTGAGACCTGTTGATTCTCTTCTTCGTACTCTCTTCTCAGAAGTTTCACTAGTGGTGAGTTATTTCATTATATGTAGTTGTCTGCATATTTTTTTACACATTGCTTAAAAGTTGTAACTAAGAAAGACCTTATCCAAAGGCACCTCACATTTTTAAAGTCTGTTCAGCTGAGGTCATTATAGTATTTTCTCTATGTAGCAGTAGCAACGTTGTTAAGGAAGTACCCATATCAAATAGGGCACTAATTGTATTGAATGATTTTCCTCAGTCATTCTACTTGACTGCCAGGATAGTGTTCTGAAATAGCTTGTAGACTCTACTGTTCCAGTCCTATTCTCATCAGCATACATGTTCATTTTATCATTTCATCTGTTTTTAAATGTCCTTGCAGTTAATATTGTAATGTAGAAAACCTGTGAGTGATGTTGGTGTTGGTAGTGATAGTGGTAGTCATGGCGGTGGTGGTAACGAGTCTTCAACTCCTCTAACCAAAGTTTTATGTACATTTTTATTAACTCTCTGCATGCTGAATATGTGGCCTGTCTGGTCCTCTTCCTGTGGTTGCTGTGAGAGCAGTAAATACAGAGTATAATGTATGAAACTTAAAGTGCCTCCACTCCTCTTCTGTGGATAGCAGTTAACAACCCTCGTTGCCATGAACCAATTTGGAGTAAGGCACATAGACAGGTGGGGCATGCAAGTTAAACTGTTAGTGGAAGAAAGTCAACAAATAATATGAATTTAATTAAACAAAGAGCAAGACTCATTTCTGAGCAAAACATCTACTTTGGCCAGTGAATAAATAACAAAATCCTAAATATAATGTCCAAAAATAAAAAAGAAATAACCCAAATGTGGTTCACATGTCACTTGCTATACTGTGGTCTTTAGTAAAGTAAAAATTGTTTTGAACCATACTTGCAGAAAACAATGAAACATACATTTTATCCTGAGTACTGTTGTCTTATAAGTCTTGCAGTTTTGAGGTAATTAAATGAAATTGTGTGAATGTGCCACATTTCATAACATATATAGTTTATAGGTGTGATTGAATATGATTTGTTTGGTTTCAGCATAGCACCACAGTAGCAATGGAGCGATGGTTGGGTATGGTCCTGGCCATCCTTCTCCTGCTAATATCTCAAGGTAAAGAAGAAGTTGTGCTTGCTCGCCTGGAAGAACTAGATCTGTGTCTGCCATTTACATCCTCACTTGAAAGACATGATCCCTTGAATGTGGCAGCAACAATGCCCAAATGTAAGCAACAGCCACCAGAACAAATTATGGCAAGGTCAGTGAACTATTCATGATAGCTTTGGATTTAAAAAGCATTGGCAGTAATCTATTCTTTGCAGAATTTCTGAGCAGAAATCTTCACTGAAGTTTGGTTGTTAATAAATTCTTTCGTCAGATTGCAGACAGCAGGGATGAAATCTCTTGCTACTCTTATGTGGTATCAGGCCAATTAGCCATGTGCTGCAATATTACAGTGTTAAACTCCCCTTTATTTTATGCCACATATAGTAGTTATACTACTATAATTTCTTGCATTACTATGTACAGACTTTTTGTTCTGCTTTTCTTCTGTTAATTTATGAACACTGATGCTGTCAGGGTAATTCTTAACCTGGAAACATTGGGTTTCTCGCACATCACACTCATGTAATTGTTCTCTTAATACACCATTCACACCCATTCAAGGTCTCATTGGCACTGAGGCAGAATTTGGTGAAAGGAAGACAAAATAAATAAATTTCTCTCATGTTTTTATAGATGGTTGAGGGGCATTAACTGTTGTCAGAAGCTTTGAACATAGACACTGACATCCTAGTTATATTTTCACATGTAGGGTGGTACGCTTGATGAAATGACAAGTTATAGTTCAGATGATTGCATTTATTAGCATTTCAGTTACACACTCTGTCTTAATTACACTTAAATACAGTGCTATCCCTGATTTACACATACACTTGTCCTCTTCTGGTACAACTTCGCANGAGACATTAAACTGTCTGATCTTATCTTGCTGGTGGGCAAGAGCGGTATATAATATTACATGGAACAGCACTAAAGTGAAGATAGGTATATATGATGCATGTTGCTACAAAGAAATACTATGGGAGAAAGAGCTTCATGCAAGGTGGTCATCTCTTCATGCCCTTTTCAAGAAACAGCTGGCAGTTGCTTGAAAAATGAGCCACAGCTGGTCTTAACTTCTGGTGTGTAATGCCAGACTCTATATATTATACATATTTTGCAAGAAATTTTAAATAAATTAATCTTAATTTTTTAACTGTATTTGGCCATATGATTTTATAGGTAAGATGAGTTATGATTTTAGGAGCTCATTTTTATGACTACTGTACTCAACCCAACATAATTCTGATTCACTTATTCCTCTCATTTCAAGGAATGCAGTCCCAGCATTAAATAGAGTTTGACTGTATTGGAATTGTCCTCAGGTGTTTCTTACTTTTGTAAGCAGTTTTAATTCGTTTCATGACCTTACAGTTAGAATCATGTTTTTGAAAACATAACCTCAGTGTAACGGTTCCAGATGTATTTTATATGAACTGGGAACAGCCAGCTACTGAGTAGCTTATACAGTATTCTGTTGATTTCTTTCTTTCCCAGTGTTATTTCAGCATTGCAAATAATTGTAAACTAACCTATTATATGAATGAAAGGTACTGGAATTAGTAAGCGCTTCTGAGAGGGTTTGGGATTGCTGGGTTTTTGGACCTTATCTCTTGTCCAATATCAGAAGAGCGCAACATTTCAGAACCTGGATATATTTCAATCCCTGGGTGAGGGATAGGAGACACCCACTCTGTTAGGTCTGTTAGAAAGAGCCAAACTCAGTCACAGAGTAGGTGTCTCCCACTCCTCACCTGAGGACATAAACAGATCCAGTTTTTGAAACATTTGTTTTCTCTTGTCTTCGTTAGAATACAGGATGATGAACAAAGCCCAGTAAGACAGTAGTCCTGAGTGTTATGCATCCATCATCAGAACCCTTTGGTATCTGCTTTTTGAGAAGGTATTTACTTTATTTTCAGGTTTCTTATGCAAGTATTGGGGCTTGTCAGTAACCACATACACTGTTCTGTGTACAGTCCTCTGGCAGGTGAAGAGTCCTTGTATCTGCAGGAGCAGTTCTCACATTTTCTGCTTTATTGTATCTATATGTTTGAATCAGGTAATGTGTTACACCATATGTTTCCAGTAAGTGATGACTTCATTTAAGATTCACCATGTTTTATTTACTTATGGTGGATTTTATTCTGTATATTTTGGTACTCTCAATTAAGATAACTGATCATACTGGTGTTACAGTAATGCTGTATAAGTGTTTTTGTGGAAGGTGCCCCATTTGTAGTTCAACCAGGTAACTTGAGACAGTGGTTGTTCTTTTACCCTTTTCCATAGTTCTCCAAACCAATGCTGGGCTGGTACCTTAAAATAGACTTGACTTCCACCTTTCTGGTCCTTACCTACTCATCCTTCATAATCATCTTTACATTTTATTCAGCACTATATAACTACTGCTCTTCATACAATGTATGAAAAATCTGCAGTTTTAAAATGGGTCATCTTGTGTTCAGGGTCATTGTATATTTGAGACAATATGGCATCTAATATATTCTGTATGGAGCTAAAACTTAATGAACTGTAGACTGCTGGTTACTGAACTCTGAAGTAAATATCTTTCTGACTGAAGGAAGAAATTCTTGTTCACTGGTAATGGACAATACAAAAAAATTATAAAACAGTAAAATGGAAATCTCATCAGGATTAGGAGATTCACCGTCAACTACAAATCTTGGTCAAGCATCGCTAATGCGTATTGCTGAAATGCAAGCAGTGTGCATTGCTTGCTAAATAACAAGGGGGTTTTAAAAGTTACATGGTTAATCTACAAAGTGAATAATCAACACATGGTTAATCAATAATTTATTTTTTCTTTCTTTCTCCAGGCAGTTACTGTCGTGTTGCTACAGCTGTAATGCAGATGGTGCAGCAGGGCAAAGAAATGGGACGTGATCCTAATTCATGTTTGCCAATCGATGACATCAACAGTTTATTTTTGGAGTTGGCCCCAAAGTGTCCTATGCTTATGTTCAAGTGGTGCTATCTCCTCACCCTTGTGAATTTCAGTGACCAGACATTTTGGGCTCAGATACTACGCACACAGCCTCATGATCTGATTCTTGAACAGGGGTATTGTAAAACAGTCTTCCTTCACAGTTTTTGTAGTCATGCTCATGATCATATTGCGTATTTATTCACTTAACTCTTCTAATTATAATATAGGTTTTGATACATTGATGTGGGCAAGAAGTAGTGCATGGATCACATGTAGCGTATGCAAAAGCATTTCACAATCCTCCAAAAAGGTTAGTAATTACAGCAAAAGAAAGCGATGTGTAGTCTGAATACTGAATGTTGCCATCAAGTGGTTAGCACTCCTACTATTTACCTCATTCATTTCTAGGCCCTGCAGCTGACTGTCCTGTCTGGTATTTCATAGGTGTCCTCCATGCATCCAGGCAAATGCTGGAATAGTACCCTAAAACATCCATGGCCACTTCCTTCAAAATCCTTTTCAGCTCTCATTCACCTCCCATTTGATACTGTAGAATTTATGCAACTAAGAAGTCATTCTTAAACTAACTAAAAATCATGCACTCCAGATAATTTCCACAGTTTGATATTTAGCCTGATAAATCACCCTGCCTTGGTGAAGCTTGCTTGCATATTTCTACTGTAATGTATGTAGACATGCTTATGTGTGTATCTGACAGCTCTGAGTTTCCTCAATCTTTTGTTTCTAGACCTGTTCAAGCAGAGAGCTGTGGGCCGTCTCCTTGCATTAATCTGGAGGTGGTGCGGAAACTTGGTACCATCCTGTACTGTGATTATGTAGTGAGTGTTATTTGTCTTAACTACCCCAACTCTTTGTTGGCATTTCTCATTTAACTTTATATTTCAACCATAGATAATGAGATATGTTCATTCAGCTATTTCATGGGATGGAATTGTACTCTGAACCTTAAGTTTAACATGAATAAAGGAATTTAAAAGTTCTGTCTTTTTTGTTTGTTTGTTTGTAAATTCATAGTATATGTGGTCTTTGGAGCCAGGTTAGAGCTAACAAGGTTAACAAGGAACTGACTTTTAATTGCTGAAAGAAGAGGAAAATATAATTAACACCTAGATTGCTCATGGGAGCATGCTTTTTGTCATTTCAAAGTTTCATACCTTTCATTTCATTTCTGTTGTTTTACTGCTGTAGTCTTCAATATTTTCAGTATTCTTACCTGCTAAATCAATTTACATCTTTTTTTGTGTGTATGTGTGCACGCATGCATGTTGATTTTTAGGACCAAAAAATTATGTGATACTAATTTTGATTCGTCTAAAACATAAAAAGTATGCTTTGAAGAGCTGATAGTATTTTCTAAAAATCCCCCATGATTACACAAAGTAGTCACCAGAAGTCATCGTAGTTTCAGACAGAAAGTAGGGCAGTGTTGCAGTGGATCGTGAAAGTCAACTTTAAGTTGTGTATCATAAATCTGTGTCAGTTGTCACCAAAGAGTGGCTTGTATTGACAAAATGTACATTCCGCATCACATGATATCACTCTTGCATACTTGTAACACACAATATCACTAACACTGAAGTCTCACAAGTCTTCAGAGTCATCTAGATCCTCCCACTCTAATACAGATGGAATCTTTTACATGACTTTAACCCGTTACTAATACTGAAACATTGGAAGAATTTTTGTTTTACTGGATCATGTTCTGAGTTGTTAATTCTGTGCAGTTCATCATATATATTCTCCATTTCTTTATTGTTTCTGACAAATCTGTGATCTTTTATAAACTTCTTGTCGACTGCCACAGGAAACTGAAATGTGCATGAATGTAGGCCAAGTAGGATCTTCAGTTCATTGGAATCATTAAATATTTCTTTCAGTATTGCAGTAGAGAAATCATCATACCTGTCACATTTGTTTACCCCACAGCCAAAATATTCAAAGTTTTCTGCATAATACACAGTGCCCTCCAGGGTTCTCCATCAGATATTATTGTAGTGGTCAAGTCGAGGAGAATGAGATGGACAAGGTCTGCATCATGTATGGACAGAATAAGAAATGTGTGCAGTACTTAATTCAGAAAACCTCAAGGGAAGATTCCATTTAGGAAACCTGCATAGATGCGAGGATAATATTTAAATGGATCTTAGGGGAATGGTGTATGATGGTGGATTAGAATCGACTGGCTCAGGGCAGAGTCCAGTGACGGGCTTTTATTATCGTGGTAATGAATATTTGCCTGTATAAAAAGTAGGCAACTTCTTGACTACCTTAGCAACCGTAGACTTTTTTGGGAAGACCCTGCTCTGTGGAAGTTACAGTTCATTCTGTGGCAACCTGTGTTCAGTTTGCAAATCATTATCTTCAGGCTTACATAATGAATTAGCATGGCATAATATAAGCAATATGTGTGTATTTCAAATCAGTGGAGAGTTTATAATGTTAAAAATCGGGTTACATTTAGAAAAGTAAAAGCCTTAAAAATCTTTAAATTAATGCAGAAAATACTCCCAAGAATTTTATGTATATGTGCAATTGAAGTTCTGTTTAAATTACTTTTAAATCAATTATATACCATATTATTATTATATATATATATATATATAGATTTGGAGATGAAAGTAATATTTTCTTAAATTTAAACTTAGTTAATTCAGCATATAGATTGCATAGAGAATGTATAAAAAACCTTTGCTGTGTATGGTTCTGTTGTGCAGTGTGAAAACATGAATGATGCTAAGCAGCTCACATGGTTGTTGGTGAATCATATTCAGGAGGTGGTGAGTTTGTCATCTGAGCTCCCCCGTACAGGAACTTATTGCTGCTGTACATAGGAATCCAGCAGCAAGTGGATTATTAGTCCAAGCTGTAGGTGCATGCTGCCAGAAACTCAGACAGGTTTGAGATAATTTTGTTGTTGTTTAGGTGGTTTTTAAGGGTGCTGTCACTCTTAAAATGCAATATGCACCCGATTGTCTGGCATGTATGGGCAAAAGGGTGTGTCAGTTGCATGAGAAATCTCCTGCAGAAACCCAATACAAAGAACAAAACATTTTTGCTATAGTTCTTGCATGGGTGACATATTGATTGATGGATGAAATATTTAGAATGCATATACTGAAACACGGCCACAGATTCTCCTAGAATCTACCGTAATGTCACTGGCTTAAGAGAAAGCGACAGCACTGCTCATGGCGATTGGGACACATACCATATAGCAGATGAACATATGCAAATCGCAAATTTGTTTTTGAAAAACTTTATAAAAATACTCAATTTTCTTTGAAATTGTTACCAGCTAGATGAGGATTTTGGTTGCTTGCATATGAAATAACTGGAAGTTTACTTTGCAGGTTTTGTTAACTGAGTTCTTTCTTTCTTTTTTCTTTTTTTTCTTTTGGGTTCTAGTACAGAAAGTTGGTTAGCATCATGTGGAAAATTTTTATTTTGATACTCTCTGAATTATATTTGTATCCTAAAATCATGTAATATCCATCAAATGTTTCTCAGATTAAGGTTTCTTTTTGTGTTTGATGTTTGGTTTGTTTACCTGGACTCGTTAAGACAGTGTTAAATTCCCTCCATATAAATTTTTGCTTAGTATGTTCAAAATGTAGTCCCCAAAGGAATCTTACATAGGTATTTTTACTTTTAAAAACACAATTGGATTGATGAAGTAGTAAAAACAGAATTACAATATTGCATTAAAAATCATCAAATCTGCTATTGTAATAATATACAGAAGCTATGCTTCAAAGATCTCCACTGCTTTTGAAGTTCCCTGCATTCTCACCTTGGCTTATTGCCATTATTAGAGTCAAGCATTATACCAACATATAGACCCTGATTTGATGCTTACTGAGCCCTTCTGAACTATATTTGGACTGCTTAATTTGTATATTGTAAAGACATTTGATGGCACAGAAAAGATGACCAAAACTGCTTTCTACATTGTACTAATATGAGGTTTAACCTCCATTTAACATTCATTTTTTAAGGTTTTCTGTCATTTGAATGTATAGTTTCAGTGATCCCAAGTCACTAATTTGTGTATTAAATTTAAGATTTCCCTCAGTTTAATGTTCAAGCAAACCCAAACCCAGTGCTCCCAAAAGATACTTTAAATAGAAGTTGTACACACTTTAAATATAATGTTGTATTCTAGCATCCTGTTGCACTGATTTTCGTCCATGATATGTATGCCGTGTCCGTCTTGTAGTGGACTCAATTTCACCTGTTATTTTACAACATGTTTCGGCAACATAGTGCCATTATCAGGTGCTCCATTTACGTTAATCTATTGCATTGCTTGCCATTATGTCATTGTAAAATTATTAAAAAAATATTTAAAGATACTCGTCAATTATAATAAATTTTATACACTAAAATCTTGTTAAGATATTCATCTTATATGTCCCAATTCAAACCCGCACATGGTTCCTCCACTATGGGAGTCATTCCTCTTATACTCCGTGTATATTGTGTCTCGTGATGTGTGTTCCCTTTTTGGCTGTGGGTGTTGTAATTGTTGGCTTTTTTAATAAAAAATAATAATATAATAATATCCTGTTGTTAAAGCAAGTCAGTGGCAAGGTTAATATTACTTTTTAAATAACTGCACAATTTATATTTCATTTTTTGAAAAGAAAATCGTCTCTTTTTCAGCCCAGTTTTGTTTGTCGGGTTCTGCGCTGTCTGGAAGGTGTTCACCCGTCTCAAAGTGGTGCTCTTCTCATTTTGCTCATCCCACGATTACTGAGCCTTCCTCATCTTGCACCTGCACGTCTGGCAGGTACACTGGCATGTCGCCGAGCAGAATTGCTTCTCACATTGCCCACAGATGAAGTTTCAGCTCAGCTCACTGAGGCTGATTTGAGAAAACTTATGGACATTTTACATTCCACTTCTCTAGCTAGGAAGTGAGTATCTCCAAGTAACCAGAAAGAAGGCGGTTATAATATTACTCTGTGTTCTCTTCAAAAAGTATTTTTTATTTTCATTTGTCATATCAGCACTGCCACAGCCCCCCTTCTATTGCTTTTTGTCCTGGGACTAATTATGTCTGATACCTTTTCTTTGGTCATGACCTGTCTGGATAGTAATGACTAGGAAATAATAGATTCCCCTCATTTTCACAGCTTGTGTAGCAGAGGTATTGAGCCTGTCCCAAGCTGCCAGGTCTTAAATGAAATAATGGTTTGTTTCCTCTAAAATTATAGGAATACACCATGGTCATGATTCGTGAGTTTCTTTCTGAATGTGACACTGCAGTTTTGTTCTCCCACAAACTGAGATGTGCATGTTTTATCCATAGCTACATTCCAGTTCTCTCCAGTCACTCCCCTAGCTGTCTTCTAATGAAATGTTTTTCTGTAAAGCTTCTCTCAAGAATCTGTGCCACAGTGCCATATTCTTCCTTTATTCTCAAAGGGACTATTTCCACATCCTAGGTTTGTTACCTGTATGGATATAAGGAAAATAAAGGAATGAATGAAAGAATACCAGTGCAAAGATGCTAGGACAGTCCTGCAATGTTTACCTACCCTGTGAGCTCAAAAGAAAATTTAGGTACAATTCAGTATTGACTAATTACTTTAAGGGTACAAACCACTGCCATAACTTGCACAATTCATTGTACTTCCTTCACATTAAAGCATAGAGTTTCCCTCCCCATACTGTTTGGTACCTATACTGATTGACTAGTGGTTACTGAATTGAAATAACATTGAAGTTGAACTAAATTCCTTAGTGATCGCTCCAACAGGAAGGGAATTTGTTTTATTTAGTCCACTACCTGGACATTCGTTCAGATGATCAGATTCCCAAAATAAAAGCAGTCTATTTTCTACATAATATCTGGCAGGTACCAGAGGAATAAAACCTGTATTATAAGCAACTTGAGACAATGATGCTCCTTGTTAAAATCAGTATATATGTCAGCCTGCATCACAGTTTGGATAACAAAATTGTGTAGAGGAAGCTGACTAGTTGTGCCTTGCAACACTAAAGCTAATCTTATTTAAATTACGCATGGAGGCACTGAAAGGGCTACACAGTTTTTGCATGTGTATCATTAAAATGACACCTCAGCAATCTCAAGATTAAGTGGACCCTCAGTTAACACTTCGCAGACCGGCGATTTAAATATTTAAATCACCCTGGGGACCGGCATTTTTAAACCTACTACCCTAACTTGTGCACTGTTCACTTTAAAAATTAATATAAAATTTCCTAATTAATTTTATGAACTAAAATTTTTGGAGAACACTTTCCAGTGCTCCTAGAAGTACTTGAGAGTGTGATATTTCTGGAAACATTCCCCTTTGTGAAGTGGCTTTACAGAGAACTTGCAAATGTAGACATGCTCCTTTTTTTGTGAACCGTGGAAACACAGCATTGCCTAGAAAGATGCTTCCCCTTGGAATATTCACTCTTCACAATTTTCACAAGGGTATGTTTCCACATATCACCCGAGAGTCGCCCTGCGGGATCCACATGAGGCTTGCGTGGGGTGGGATTGGATGGGCACGTTCGCACTAAGTCTGTGTCTGACTCTGGTTCTGCTGCCACCATCTGGTCTGTAGGCCAGGGCTTTGCCACATTAATCAGAAATGCTTTGTATTTCAATTTCGAATCAGGGTTTAGATTTTTGTGATTTTTTAAATTTTTTACTGTACCTGCAATGTTAGTCACCGCAATGTTATTACCCCCATTATCGTCAGAGCTACGGTCACTTTTACTGTCTGTGGCCACAAGTGGCCACAGTTCTTTGCTCTCCCCTGTCACTGCTGCTCTCTCAAACACCATAACTACGCATCTCACAAGGCAGGTCAGCTGGCTCATCGGAAAAGAATTTGTCCTTGTCCATACCCCAACACTAACTACTGGCTGATACATACAGCTTGAAGAGCAACAAAGCATTATCGCTTATATTGGCTTAAGAAAACAGCGAGATCAACTTACTGACAAGCGAATATTCCAGAGTTTTATTATGCCATTGTGTGCAACTTGGGTGGCACCAGAGAGATGTATAGTGTGTTGCAACTTATCGTGTTTTAAAAGCCTGTTAACAGGTGAACGGTCCGCCATGTTTAAAAGCGAATAACCTTTTAAAGGGTGCATGGTCCGCAAAGTATTAAGTAACCATTTGAACCCTAAGGCCCAATATTTACTTGGAGGGGGGGGGATTATAGAAACCCAAGATTATTTTGAGGATAACCAGTCTCTAGGCTGAGTTCAGAATCAGGATTTCCCAGATGTGAAATAAGGAATGATAATCACTTCACCATGATTTTGTGGATAGATTATGAAACAAGATGTATAGATACAAATGAAGCCCATATATATAAGAAGAGCATTTTTGTTGGGTAAGTTAATATATTTCAAACAGTTTTCTTTTGTTTTTAATTTTCAGGCACGGTGGATTAGTGAGCCTTCTCAGTAAACTAGGAGCACAGTTCTACAATCTTCCTCCATTGGAATTAGACTCAGGCCGAACATTTGAGACATCTGATATTCGTTCTGTTACTGTGGACAAGACTTGGTTTCTAGCACAAGTGAAAGCCAGGTTAGTAAATTGGTAGTGACCATTAGAATCCCCTCTTCATCAGTTACTGCTTATATATTTTAAGTAAGAATGTGTGAGCTTTCATATTTTGAAATTGAAACCCAGATCTTGCTTTACATGGAACTATACTCCATTCAGAATGTGTAATGAGAGCATGTAAGCAAAACACGGGCAGCAAACTGTAATGTGCTCATCTCACATTTATCATATGTGTGGACTGGAATCAGCTGGCTTAGGATAGGGTCCAGTTGTATGGTCTTTCAAACATGATAATTGACAATGTTATATTTTAGTGTCTTGTTGCACTGACTCATGTCCATGATTTATGCTAACTGTCTTACAGTGCATACACTTTTTCACCTTACTCTTTTCTTTTGCACTACATGTTTCAGCACTAGTGTGCCACCTTCAGGTGCGTTTTCTCTATGCACGTCTAACTACTGCATTGCATGCCCTGATGTCTACATATTAAAATGACTAAAATATATATTTGTCATATATAATAATAGATTTTAAATATTAAAACTTTTCAGAATTTTGTCATCCTTAGTCGTATCTCAACACGCAAATCACGCCAATCCTCCTCTGTTGGAGCACTCTTCCTGCATTTATGTGTGTATCTGTAACGTGAAGTTGTTATTCATGAATACCACATTCTGAATTTTATCTGTTACATGTGGTTTTATAATGTTTAATACTCACTGTGATCTTTGTTGTATCTTGCTCCTATGACTGATAATTGGCATCTGAGTTCTGTGAAATGTGAAGAATTTCTTGACCATCTGAACTGTATTATTGACATCTTGAGTGACTGCTTCATTGATTTCTTTATTATTAAGAAAATTCTTAGTATACTCATATGGTATGGTTTGTCAAAATATTGTGGCATGTAGACCTGTTGCTAGATAACACCTGCAACACACGCAGCCAACAGTATGGGAACAGTGTTTTCTATGTCCGCGGACAGTCTGTTTCTATACAACATGCACACTGTGACGTCACACAATAGTATATGCCCATCACGTGACATGTTTCCTGCACCTGCTGTGCCGTCACACAACAATAGTGGCATGCAGCTGTAAATTGATTGCAAATGTAATGTAACGCCTGTTTTCAGAAACCATGGAAAAAAATGTCATTAAATTTTAATAAAATGTGGTTATAAGGCTACCTGAATTTCACAGCATATTTATTAGTAAAAACATTATCTTATAATGTGGCTAGTATGGCAATGAAATTCTCATTTAATGCTTAAATTACAGGTTATTCCATTCTGTTGTTGAAGTTGTTATAAAGTTATCTCTTACCTCTACCAGAAGCCCATGCTATATGCAAGATTGTAGGACTTTAAAAATGACTGATCTCTTACAAAATTCCCAAAGCACATGAACGTTCAAAACAAACTCTCCCTCCAGCATTAAAGATTTGTAGTGGTACAGGAATGTTTTACCAAGACATGAATAAAGAATTTGACCAAAGGTTCATTACTGCTAATACCAAAGCATTCTGCTGGACAAAATCCTGAGCCAGTTCCAGACACCTCTTGCTACATTTTCAGTGTTCAGACTGGCCATTGTTTAAGAGATTGCTATAACTTTGAAACTGAAATGAGTTTTTCCTGAGGGAAACAGCATATCTCAACTTCATGTGAGCTGATTGCATAGTAAGCTTTTAGTGCATTTCTTTGCCATGAAAACATCAAATTTTACATAAAAGAATTTTTGCAGAATATTTTTTCAGCACTATTTCCACAGTGATATTGCTTGCAGAATATTAGAATGTCATGTACTCTACACATGCATTGATAAACTTGTACCAGAGAAGTTGGCTGAAGTAGTAATGCTTCTTAAATATGCGGTAGAGTCATTAAGTGCGTGGAATGTGGTTTTATCACATCATATTACAAGGTATTCACATACACTTACGCAGATCCATATCGGCCCTCAAAATAGTTGCCGTCGGCCGCTCTGCAAGCCTGCCAATGTTGATATAGCTGTCTAAAACATTGCTGAAACTTATTGGCAGTAAGTTTTCATATGACGCTTTGCGACCATTCCACGAACTTATTGACTGTGGTAGTATATTCACAAGGTGCCCAGTTTGAATCTTAACTGGTACACATTTCTTTATTTACTGATCACCCTATAATTTGATGCTTTATAGTTTGAGCTACTGACAGAGCCATTAAATATGCCATCAATAAATAAGTAGATGAAGAATTAAGTAGGAATGTAGAATAAAATTGATCTTGTAAGTCATAATGGATGTTGCTTGTTCTCCATATATGTGAATGCTTGCTCACAGCAGTACCTGAGTGTGCAATATGCTAAAACGACATATGCAGTGATAGAGCAATTATGTCTCAGTACAGTAACCTTCATTCCATGTCTGGTTTCAGACGGGAAAATTAGCTTTATGGTTACTGTAGAGTTCTGAAATTATGTATGAAAATTAGTTTTCTTAAATTCTCTAACTCTTTGTTGAGCTATTTTTTGTCTGAAGTGAAATTTAAGAACTGGCAAATGGTCTTTGTTTTCACCCCTTTGAACAGGATTCTGATTTTTTCTTGTTTACAGGTCCCTTTTGTTCAGTTGTAATGAAAATTTTTAACGTGCTTTCTATTATATGCAGGTGCTGTCAGGGTAATCAGTCTGGAGCTGAAACAGCCCAGCTGCTGAGTAAACTGGAATATGAAGAAATTGTGTCCATTCTCAGCTGCAAAGAGTTTAACTCCCTAAACCTCAAGGACTGTCTTAAATTGGGAGTCCAACTTACTCTTCAGGTGACCTCCATGTAAAATACTTTATTTATAAAATAAGAAATTGACATGAAATCAAATGAATGAAAAAGTAATTAATTGGTAGATTAACCCTTTTGTTGCTGTAAGCAATGTTCAGCAGTTCAGGCCTACCTAGCACACCCCATGTCTCCATTACAGTGACCATTCAGTTAATCCTTTAGGTAAGTTATCATGTTAGAAGTAATCACAACTCTTGAAATGGTTTAACTCTTTAAGTCAATGATCAGTTAGTATATATGGTATAGTCATTAATTTCGTGGATTGTGTTTTAATCACATCATATTACAAGGTATTCACATACACTAACACAGATCCGCACCAACCCTCAAAATAGTTGCCGTTGGCCACTATGCAAGTCTGCTAATGTTGATATAGCTGCCAAAAACATTGCTGAAACATATTTTGGGGAAGTTCCTATACGGCGTCTCTTGTGGCATTGACGACCTCCTCAGATGACTGAAATCTACGACCACGTAGCTTTGCTTTCAAGCGGTGAAAGAGATTGCTGAAACATATTTTGGGGAAATTCCTATACCGCGTCTCTTGTGGCATTGACGACCTCCTCAGATGACTGAAATCTACGACCACGTAGCTTTGCTTTCAAGCGGCGAAAGAGAAAGAAATCACATGGCGCGAGATCAGGTGAGTATGGAAGGTGTGGCAAAATGGTGACCTGTTGCCTTGCCAGTTCCTCTTGGACAAGAACAGAGCGATGTGCAGGGGCATTGTTGTGTAGCAACAGCCAATTCTTCCTACGCCAAGTGTTTTGCCAGGAAATTTGCCTAGTTTCTGGTGGAACTTTATGTTTCTCCATTGTTCAAGCTGCCACATTTTTTATTTCTGCCACTCGCATTTAACTGCAGTACACAGCAGAGGCCATAGTTCTCCTTACGCTGTTTGCACACAACTGCCTCTTGCTGTAACGGGAAATGAACTAACAGGGCATCATATTGTGCCTCAACCTATCCGCTGAAGTACACTGAAACGATGCTTTGAAGGCAGTCCACGAAATTATTGACTGTGGTAGTATATTGAGCCTGTCGAAAATATTTCCTGGTTTAGGGTTCCACCCATCCTTGTATTGGTTCTGGGTGTCCGTATGGTAAGAGTAAAGTTAGCAGCTATATAGGACTTTACCTCCATGAAATCTGTATGCCATGGCTTTGTGCTTAACCATAAGGAGAACTTACAGAATATAGAGGTTCATCTCCTTCACAGTAAAAGCTTCAGTTTTTGGAAACTATCATTTCAGTTCATTTATTATCAAGGTCATAGACCCTTGGTATCCATTTTAATCTTATATTTCAATCTATGTCTTATTCCCTTTCTCCAAGTTTTTCTAACCTAAGTTCTATAAACAATTCTTGTTATATCCACTTTTTTATTGACCAGACATGGCTAACCTACATTTTGAAAGCACCCAGCTTGAATTCCTTCAATATCAGGGTCTCACAACTCTATGAGCCTTCACGGCCTGGTACAGGGATAGCTTTACTTTTTTTTTT